TAGGCTGCCGCACTCGCGACGATTCGTGGGGGGCAGCTGATGCTAAACTCGCTGTGAACAAGCCTTCTTTGTATGGATGTTCTGCAAGGTGTGCCATCGCTTCGCCCCTTCAGTGAGGGCATCAGTGCGCACCGGTACCACCCTGGCCGCCCTTACTGCCGCTGCAGTCAACATCCGCTCGTCGCCTGTTTGTCGAAGAATAAATGGAAGCCTTGTCTACACTAACTAATGCAGGTGCCGAAATAATAGCTATCGTCACAGGACGAAGACATGCTATACACACTTGAGGATTTGCTTACATGACTAAGTAACTGCACTATCACGTACAGGAATCGTCAACACAGGATTTGCGTACCAGGAGCCTCGCAGAATAACATTAACATGAAACCTTCGCATCGGGCTTTCTGCACGTTGCCTGTATATTGTGTGCCTTGTTAGACTTTGTGCATGTCATGTAAACATTTATCTGCCCACGGTATCCAGCGGTGGTTATGACTGCTTCACTTTAAGTCGGACGCTAATAGCTACTCTCGCGTTGCCTAACGAGTGTTCGGCTCGTGACAACCCGGTGAGCATCCTCTCAACCCAACGTTGCCCCTCGAGCCATACATGATATGCATTCACCATTCTATATGTTTCAGGCACGCGATTTGTATCAACCAATGGGATTTGGGAGGTATGCAGAATGCAGAAGGTTGCTGAAATGATGTGTACGCAACTGCGTATCTGCGCCTAACAAAGGTGTCACTACGCACGACTTAAATGTTACGTTTATAACCATAGCAACATACCTCAGATGAGCCCAGACGCTCTGCGGCTCTTGTTTGTGTTTATTTGGGTAAGTTTCATTCACCCCAAAATATTTTCATTCACCCTTGGGTGAACCATTTACCAGTTTAAGAAGCACTGTTGTATTGCCTCCTGACAGGCCACACCGACCTTGTTCCAGCCTTATAACGCTGGTTCTTGTACAGGGTTAGGTCGGTGAGCTGATGGCAAGGTTATGCTGCATGTGTCCATTTCTACAGCTGGCGTCGACTGCTGTGAAGCTAATCAGGGTGAAGTGCCTCGCTTTAGGGCACTACTGCAGTAACTAAGGCTAATCACAGATACTTCAGTCCAGAGTTCAGGGGCCCGTTGTCAGAAACAAAATTACTCTTAACATTAGTCTTAACATGAATTTTTTTCTCTTAGACTGTCGACAGAAACGCTGTGAAGTTGCCTGAATAGAAAATCGTAGCAGATTTCCTCATAACAATAGGAAACAAAGCGCTGTCGACGGTCTATGAGAAAATGTTAATGTTAAGACTAATGTTAAGACTAATTTTGTTTCTGACAACGGGCCCCTGAGTGTTAGATAATAAGCTACTCCTGCCCATGCTGATTGGCAATGCTGCTCTGTCTTCCACCAGACCTGATTTTTCAGTCTCGTTAGCATTGCAGTCATTCTAAAGAATTATTAATTCAGTTGTCATGGTAACAATCGTATTAATAACTATCAGTGTCGCTTAGAAATGAGGTAGATTTAATGTCGTAATCACATTTTTTTATTGTTGTGCATGAGTAAGTTAGATAAGTTTAAACAATGCTGGTCATGCCAACTCATGACAGTGATTTTGCCATTGTGATTTCAGATGATAGGTTCATACTGAAGCAGATGTCACGGTTTGAAATTCAGTCGTTTCTCGAGTTTGCTCCAGCTTACTTTGGTTACATACAAAAGGCACATACGGAAAAGGTACATTATTAATTGCTTTTCTGTTAATGGTATGCAAGCACACAACAAAGTATTTTAATATTTTAGCATTAACAGCTTGTTATATTGTCAAGCACCGTCGTCCATTATTCAAAGGTGGTTTTTCCATTTCAGAAGCCTACAGTGCTGGCAAAGATACTAGGTGTCTACAGGATAGGTTACAGGAACACCCAAAACAACACTGCGTCAAAGCAGGATCTCCTCGTCATGGAAAACCTTTTCTATGACAGAAAGGTGTCACAGATCTTCGACTTGAAGGGCTCCATTAGAAACCGACTGGCTAGCACGTCAGGAAAGATAGAGGGAGATCTGGTGCTACTCGATGAAAACCTACTGAAGAGTGAGTTTCAGCGCGAAAGTGATGCTGGTGTAATTTCATGTGGTCACAGGGATAATTGATATAGACAGTAATCTTCTCAAATGTGTAATGCTTACATGATGGTTCTGTGTGTCAGCAGTATATATAGTATAACAATATGACATATAAATGATATAATAACAAATCACATGTAATATGTAAAATGTTTGACTTTCAGTGACGTGCGACACACCACTCTACATTCGTCAATATTCCAAGACTGTTCTCACAATGGCAATCAACAGTGATACCCACTTCCTCTCCAGCCATCTGG